CACAAGTCTCTTCAACGCTACAGAGACCTTCAAGTGGTGGAAGCAAAACGCTCGCATGTTCAACTCCGCCAACATATGGAATGAAAACTCCCAATTCTTCTGCCATTGTAAGAAGCACTTCATCATCATCATCATTGTTCTCACTCAGAAAAGGAATCAATTCCTTTCGAGTTCTCTCCTCTCCAAGTGCACGAGCAATTGTTGACAAACGACGGATTGAGTTCAACCGCAGTTGAATGTCTTCGTTCTTGAGCTCATCAATTAGAACTGCAATTGGGTACAGGGGCTCTTCCATGATGGAGATGTGGTGTCACAATGCCTTGGTCAATTATCTTTCCTATATATGTTCATCGAGTACTCAGCTTTAATATGTATGGTTTAGGAAATCGCTAGACGTTTAACTGGGAAAAATGAAATAGTAAAAAATTTAATTGGTACTTCACACCAGCTATTACATGAAGAGGAATACTCAAGATTTACCAGTCACACTCATTAGTAAATTGCAGAAAATAATATATCATTGGTCCATTGCTAGATCAATTATGTAAGTGTTCATAAATTTTGTGCATCCATTTTTTGAAATGTTCACAATATAAGGGTGAAGACCCTTCCATATTCATTTAATTAATATCAGAATTGATATATGTACACTCTTGAGGCCCAAAACGAGATCCCACACAGTTCCGCGGTTCACAAACTTCAATGATAACATTAAGAAATACATGAGCCCAAAAGAAAAATATTCAGTTTTTACTTAAGGAACATTACAAGTTTGAACAGGTAACATAAAATTCAAGTTTACAATAAAGAAGTAGATTCATCAAAAGAATTAAAGAATCTTCACAGAGCATATGAAGATCTTTGCATTACGCATATATAAAACAAAATATAATAAAAATTAAGATATATAACGCATATTGTCAATTTTCGAAGTGAATTCTACGCTATTTACGCTGATAATAATGCCTATTATATTTGTAATATTGAGTTAGCCTTCATTCCAGCGATAAACTAATACAGAGATATTCAGTATTTATTCCACGCCTTCGATACGTAGCCAGAAAAAAGAACGAGAATTCCGAAAATGACCAGATTTGTGCAAGGAAGATTCATGGACTGAAGTAATTAAGAAGATCGTTGCGTTCATGAAACAGATGGCGATTTCGGAATCTGACAAAATCACATAAATAATGAATCCTGAATACCTGGTCTCAGCATATTCGTGTGCGAGAGTTATAGGGAGAGATTACCTGGAAACTATGTGAAGAACGATGAGGTCGATCTGAGGCTGCAAGGAATCCAAGGATAGTGAGTACAGAGATCTGCCTGTATTATGCTGTTTCCGCAAATTGTCTGAAAATATTGCTTTATGGAAAAACAATGAAACAATTATTTCCACCTCTTTCTCCAAAAAAACAAAATTATTTCCATCTCTATGTATTATTAGGGGTGTATGGATCTCATTCTCCTAGAAGCATAAGTTGAAGTGTTTGGATAAAAGTATAGAAGTGATTTTGGGCTGTATTTTATTTCTAGACTCAGTTTTTCTAGAAGATGGGGGAGACCAGTTTCTGAAAACTGATTCTGATTCTACTTCTACGTTAAAAAAGAAGCAGAATTAGAATCAGTTCCAAACACCCTCTTATTACTACACTAGTATGTAGCCCGTGCACCGCACGATAAGATATGTGTTTAAATTTTTCCTTAAATTTATGTAGACTGGATTGCATATAATTTGTCAATCGAAGTTTAAAAGAGAACTGAATTGACTATATATATATATATAATTTAAAATGAGTCGAACTCCGTCGGGCTTGCTCGTTTCGTGGTTGATTGCATTTTAATAACTTGATTAACTCACTGGTTTCATGAGTCAACATGCACATGTTGTGGGTTGACTATACAACTTGCAATTTGATCAAAATATAAACATCTAGTTTTGACTTTCATTATCTTAATTATTGTTTGTTTACTACAAAAATTATTTGCTATTATGTACTTATTATTATTATCAACAACAACATTTAGTGAACTACCATTTCTGTAATAATCATTCAAATAAATTATTCCTGCATATTTTGTATTTTGTAGTTGAAAATAATTTTTTAAAATTTAGTAGTCATTGTTTACATATATATACTCGAGAGATCTAATTATAATCATATTTTTGTACAATTAGTTCCTTTGATTTAATAATATTTTTTAATTAAACTTATCAACTATGGTGTGCTTAGTATTCTAATATCTTATATTTCCTTTTATTAATACTTACAATTGTCTACTTATCTACGGAACATATTTCTCGATTTATGGGTCCCCAAGTTTTTAATAATTTATTAGTATCATATAGTAATATTATATATTAACACTAATCAGTAAAATAAAGTGAGTAAGAAAAAATACAGATCTGTCATTTTTTCATCGGTCCTCACACTTCTCTTTTATTCAAATTGCTTGAGTAATGAGATGTGTTGCTTTAAATCAAGTATAAAGTAACTTTTAGTATTTTTATTACATTATTTAATGAGTATTCAATTGATTTGAGTAGAAGTATTAAAATTGATTTTTTTTATTAATGTGGGGTCTCGATTTTACATTTGAAACTGAGGCATCCAAACTCATTTCAGGATAATTATTTTCAAAATCTTTTTCCATGTGTATTTTTTGCATTGACCCGCGGGGCAACCTTTAAAATCCACAAATTTTGTTGGAAAAGAAGCAAGAGAGGAATATTTTATGAAATAATTTCATAAATATTACTCTTTAAAATATGATGGACAAGAATATTACTTAGAACTATTGGTGATTACAATTGTATTCAAAATTTACATTTTAGTAACTAAATGTAAGTTACTGTGACGTCAACTTTGAACACAATTACAGACACTAATAGTTACTAAGTCACTTTTTTGTCCATAATATTTATTTTAGTAATATTGAAGGAAAAACCCCATATTTTATTTTTGAGTATTTACAATTTCGTGATACTGTCAAGTGCAAATTTTTACCTATATTTATACAACATTGTAAATTTGTAAAGCATAAATATAAACACACACACAATACTCCTAACTTATATATAGCACACATAAATTTTAATCTAAATTTTTATTGTAATACATATGAGTGGGGGGTTGGAAGTTGAATAGCTTTTGTTTAATGGTGTTACTCATGTCATTTTTTCTATAAAAAATGGTGCCACATGTCAATTATTTCTCCAAAGAGTTCTCCAATGGTTAGCTTTATTGTATTATATAGATAGATACTCTCACAAATACTCCGCATTATGCAATATAACATTGAATTCATAAAGTAAACATGAATTAGAATTGTACAAATTTTATTAAATTTGATATGCGACAATTTTACACATGAGAGAAAACGTACAAATAAGATGGTGTTTTTTATCTTCTTAAAATAGAACTAAATAATACTCTGCATTATGCAATATAACTTTGTTTTTTTTTATCTTTTTTAAATGTACTTTATTTAATCACTCCAAATTTCCATTTGTAAAAAAAACATAAAACATAATAAAAATATTTTTACTTAAAAAAATATGAAATAAATAAAAAAAAATCATAAATATTTTAAAAGATTAATAACATAATAAAATAAAAAATAAAAATAGATAAAACACACAAAAAACAAAAAAACGTGAAGACCTCTCCTGGCCTCTGTCACCTCCCGACAATGCTAACTCTCATCGGAAAATATGTCATTTTGTGTAAAAATGTCAATTTTTTATCTGAAAATGACATGGAAATGACATTTTTACTCTATGAAAATGCCAATTTTTCTCTAAAACTACCATTAAGATGACATTACTACACATATTGGCATTTTTTCCGGTGGTCGGAACGGGTGGTGTTAGGAGGTTGTTGATATGGAAGCAAAGGCTTGCATATTTTTTTTTTTACATTTTTATTTAATTTTTTATTTATTTAATTTTATAATTTTTTATTTTCTACCTTTTTTATTTTTATTGAATTTATTTAATACTCCGTATTTATTTTTGTGTTTTTTAATTTTTTTACATTTTTAGTATAAATAAAGTTAAGTTAATACATTTAAATTTTAATTATTAATGAAATATGAATTGTATTAAAACAAAGCAAGAGTAGGATTGGAAAGGTATACTCCGATTCTTTAGGGGATTTTAAAGATATAATCTGATTCTTACAATTAAAGTTTTCATTTAGTCCTATTTGAGGAATTTCCCCGGTGACTAAATAGAATTGATTCCGGTCCTCGAGCAGACTAGACTTAAACATATTAGATCAGACCGGTTTCGATCAAATTAGACATTGACAGTTGTAAAATACACATAAAACAGACATCTACCAGATCAGACCAGACCAGTTCATATTAGACTTAAACAGATCAGATCAGACCAAACTCAAACAAACCAGATCGGACCTGATTAGACTAGAAAACTACCGCCCAATTAAAAACATCCTACTCCTATACCCATCTACTCTTGGATATAGAGGGGTGGGGTTGGGGAGGATCTATGAAAGAAATTACAAAAAAATGGGAAAATCTATCAAAATATGGGTGTAAAAGTATGACATATTGTGATATTTTGACAGTATGATACATTACTATGACCATATTTCATAACTGGCAATATTTTTCAAGTATTGCAAATTTGCAATAGTTCTGATCTTATTGAAGATTGACATAACTTTTTTTAAATTTCACATTATTTGTAGTCTGATTTAGGGCTATTTATGAAAAAATTGTACTCTGTATTAATAGTTTTATTGTTTAAATTTAACCACCATTGCATGTTTAAGGAGTCCCGACTATCCATATGATTCATAAATTTCAAAAGGTAAGAATTGTCTTGTTTTGAACTCATTTTGATCAAACTAAGCTAATATATCATGTAATTTTGAAAAATAGAATGTCTTAAACAAGTTACATAGATATACTACGTATTTAGTAAAACCCAAAAAAGTTGGAATAACAAACAAACAAAAGTTGTGTGTTTTTGCATGGGATATAGGGACTACACACTTGGTGCATGCTGCAACTCATGCAAATGCGATCGATCTTCATATATGACATGCATTTATCTATCAAGAGTTTAAAATGTAAGCTGGATGAGACTTAAGACTAGGCCAAGAAAAAACCCAATAAAGCCTTGTGTGGTTTTGGATAGGGCACCGAAATCCCTCGCAGTTATGATTTGTGTGCTAGCTTTTTTCAGCCTCAGCCTCAGCCTTCTTCCTATCGCGCTCTCGCAAGCCAGCACAGTCGCCACATGTTTGCCCTACCTGCTGCCGTTGGGCTCGTGTGTACCGTTCGCGCAGGGGAGAGTGCCCGTGCCCGCCCAGCAATGCTGTATCAACCTTAAGCAAATCTACAACAGCCAGCAAGGGGCTCCTTGTCTCTGCCCTCTCCTCAATGCTTCCACTTGGAACGTTTTCCCTATCAATTCCACTTTAGCACTTCAGCTCCCCAGTCTCTGCAGCCTTCAGATCAACACCTCTCTTTGTTCAGGTATATTAATAACTAAGTTCTCAAGGATTAATTTCAGCTGCCTTCTTCTAATTACATCAAAAATTGCCAAACCAGCATCGAGATTTCTATACATTACAACTAAGTCCCTTGATCACTAAGATTTTTTCCTCGAGACGGTGAAAGATGAGGGGACCGCCCTAAACGATATAGTTACTATACCACTAAGAATGAGTTTGAGGAAGCGGCCCAGCTCAGTGGGTCACCGACTCACTCTCCCTTATGGGAGGTCTCGAGTTCAATACTCTATGAGGTGAGTGTGATTCCAGTTTACCCTAGGCACCTAGCCCCCCTCTCCCGACCCCCTGGGGTAAAAAAACTAAGAATGAGTTTTTTGCAAACTGAACTACCCTTACATTTGTCCTAGAGATCTTTTTCGTTATTATTTACCAGTCGAGCCGATAAATTGCATTAAAACATGCAACAAATGCAATATTAAGATGGACGACTGTTGTCATCAAAATATTCTATAATCCGTTTGGTGGTAAAAGTTAGAAGCTGTTCTGTTCATCTTAATCTTATTACTTATTGCTTATTCTTATTTTATTCAGATTAGATCAGAAAAATTCAGATTAGATCATATCAGAAAGATTCAGATCAGATCAGATCAGATCAAGAACATTCAGATCAGATCAGAAAAGTTCAGACATGATTTATCCTTTTTATTATAATAATAATAATTATTATAATAATATTAATAATAATTATAATAATTATTATTATAATTATTATAATTATTATTATTATTCTTGTTCTTGTTATTGTAATTATTATTATAATTACTATTATTATTGATATTATTATTATTATTAGTATTATTATTCTTATTATTATTGTTATTAGTATTATTATTATGCTTATTATTATTATTATTATTATTAGTATTATTATTATTACTATGCTTACTATGATTATTATTATTATGATATTTATTATTATCATGATTATTATTATTCTTATTACTATTATGGTTGTTGTTATTGTTATTAGTTTTGTTTTTGTTATTATTATATTATATGGAGTAATTACAATTAAAATTATATAAATAAATATTATAATTATAATTAAAATTATAATTATAGAAATAATTATAGATAAAAATATAATTATAATTATAATTATAGCTATATTTATAACTAGTGTAATACGTTTAATAATAATTATACCTATTATAATTATGATTATAATTATAATTATACTTTTTTATAATTATGATTATAATTATAATTATATTCAAATTATATGTGTGTAATTACATTTATAATTATTGTAATTAAAATTATAATTATAATTTTAGAAATATTCAAATCAGATCAGATCAGAAAGATTCAGATCAGATCAGAAGGATTCAGATCAGATCAGAAACATTCAGATCAGATCAAGAACATTCAGATCAGATCAGAAAGATTCAGATCAGATCAGACCAGATAAGAAAGATTCAGATCAGATCAGATCAGAAAAATTCAGATTAGAACTAAATAAAATTCAGATCAGAAACATTCAGATCAGATGAAGAGAGAACAACTTCTTAATCCCACATTCCCACCCTTCATTTTAACGCACTTCATGCAATAAAATAAATAAAAGTAAAAAATGTTGAAAAGAAAACATACAAATCTAATGATGCTTTATGCTTCTCAGAAGTTTACAACTTACAAGTAGTGAAAGTAGCCAAAACTAGAGAGTGAAACAGAGTTATAATCAGCTTGTATAAAAGAAAAGTGGGTAAATAAAAATACACAGAAAATATAATAAATGTCAGTTCGTGCTTTGTAGTTTGTACTTTCTTAGTGAATATAACTAGTAACATTGTAACAATAATTCTTTGTGATGCGCAAAAAAATAAACGATCATTTTGTAATTTGACCAGGGGTTTTCAGCAATTCAGCATAATAATATTTATACCTATTGACAGCATTTCCCGTGTTTTCTGTTCATTCTTTGAGGCAAAAACCCTTGGTGTTTATTCATGTTTTCATTTTTCTTTTCCTAGATCCTCAAGAAACTATGATGCCTCCTCCATCTCTTCCTCCAATTCCACCTCCCATTCAAGTTTCAATCGGGATGAAAAACGACTCAACCTCTGCAGGTATGGCACACAAACAAAAACACTTCCATCATATAAACATTTTAGTCAATGTTGTGAAAAAACATAGTAGGGGCCGGCTAGATGGTATACTGGAACTCAGTGCTTCGGCTGGGACAGGGTATGCAACAGGCCCATGGGTAGACCTGTGCAAAAACAAGGTCGGGATGGACTTTTTCTTAATCTTCTGCCCATGGTGTGGATGGGCCCGGCATGCAACTCATCTTTTGAATATGACAGTGTTTCACCACTCAGCACTCTGCCATGCAATAATGGACGCCTAATTGCTGTCCGATAAAATTTACAATTAAATATGGATATCCAAACTAATTTTTGAATCTCGACACATATATTGTGTCTCTTTTTTTTTCTTTTTCAAATTCTCTTTGTTTACGGAGTAATGGGGGTTAGAAGAGGGAATTTTAAGACAATGATAACTTCAGTAATCCCCATATTTGTGTTTTCAGCCCCTCCAGTGGATACAGTGCAATCTAGTACACCACCAGGTGTAATGGTGTTTGGGTTTCAGCATCGATCTGGTGCAAACTCAAACGTGAGGGATTCTTGGATAGCTGTCTTAATGGCTGCTTGGACTTCCATACTTTGGCTCTATGTCTTGCAGTAATATAACTTCCTATTAGGATTAGTTTCCAGATATTGTTATAAGATCTTATTTACTTGAGCATAAAAGTGTCATTTAATCCTTCAGATATCCTTCAGTGCTAATATCTATACATATCCCACTGCTTCCATTTAGTGACCTGAAATTTGGTGTCAACAAAGGCTACATTTGGTAAGCCCTTTGTGGCCTTTTTAAGATTTATAATGAGTAATATTAGCGAATACTAAACTCATGCATAAAAACAAAGAAAAAAACATAATGACAGGTTACGTTGAATGCCCTTCTCCAAAGCAACCTTCAAACGAATAATGCCATTTAAGGCCCTGTTTGCTCGCATTAATCAGCTTACTCTACTAATCCATCAAACAATCAGATTAGGTAGCATAAAATCAATATTACCAAACATTTTCCCTTTATAAAATTCAACTATTCCAATCAAATATTAGACCATATATATACATACTTAAGTGGAGAAGATGGTACAAAGTTCAAAATGAAGTGGAGAGACTTCGATACTTCGTAGAAGATATAGCTTCAATTGAAAACAAAAAATCGTGATATGCAATACTTAAAAGGCGTACCAATCCCACAAAATGCCGGGTCTGGGAAATACATACATGCTAAGTTCTGTACTTGAAGCTTGACAGTTCCCATTATCCAACCCATCACAATTCCAACTGCAAAACAATCCATGATTGGAATGTGGGAGAGCTTAGCTATTCAGCCAAACTAGGTGCTTCATCAGTTGGATTGGATTCAAAGACATCTGCTTTAGATGAATCGGGTCCTTCTAGAAGCTCCCGTGACTCAACTGATTCCTTGTACGCAGGTGTGTCCTTGAAGTCTGTTGCTCCGTCATTGTATGTAGCGACAGCAACACCGCATGCAACTAACTGCAAAATGAATTATACAAACAACACCACAACTGATTATTTAAAACACATCAAAAGTGAGGGAAAACAAGCATTTATTCACTCAGACACCGTTTGGATGGTGGAGGGTTTTGGAAGACTTAATCCATGTCTGGATTAATAGAATGTTTCTACAAACAAAAGCAGTAAAGGTGATTGGAATGCCATACAATCACATATTATGTTAATCTTTCAGTTCTATTCATTCTGAAACATATATAAAAAATATACACTAAGTCCTTTAAAGTCTTCATCCAAATCACTCTCCCAAATAGACCATTATAGAAGAATGCAAAGAATGCAGCAACTGCATTTCACTGAAAAAAGTTATATGGATAATTCAGTATTCTTCACTGTGTCTAATATCAAGTGGCTGCAGCAAATGATTATTTTACAACTTTCATATGATTATTTTTTCATTTACAACTTTCACATTTTACATTGTTGCATATGATTATTTTTTCATTTACAACTTTCACATTTTACATTGTTGCATATGATCTACTTACCAGAACATCGTACTATGACAGTTTTTGGCAACTCATAATAGAATGTGATCAAAAGTATGTGTAATGAAAATTTACATTAAAAATATTACTCCCTCCGTCTCAATTTGGTGATAACATTGCGGTTTACGATGTTTGACCGACGATAAAGCAAACGGATCCCTATCCGCACTTACATTAGTTTTAGAAAAAAAATTACATATTCGGAAACCACATTAAAAGCTTTACAAAGTCGCAGAAACCAGAACCACAATTGATAAAAATTTGATTTGTAAAGTAAGAGATTAAGGATGATTTGTGTTGACCATGTGAATAAGAACTGGTACCATCAAATTCGGACAAAGGAAGTATATTTTTTTTATTGCATTACGGTTTCTAACGTGTTACCTACATGTCGTGTTTGGCTCATCTGACGAGCCATCAAGCAAAATGGGTCCTACAATTTGGCCTCAGGAGATCCGGGCAATCTGCATGGACAAGGTCTGATCTAAAGGTCTTCCTTACATGGCGGGTTTTGAGTCGCGCCTCAAGGTGAGACGTACAGAGAAGGTATCAGGGCTTAGGTTTTTTCGCAAGTCAAGTTACTTACATGATACAATTCCTAAACAATGGGTTACGTACCGTAGGCGTAAAAATAGGAGTGGTTAAATTAATATTGAGTCTAAACTCTAAATTATTACTATTATTATTATTATTATATATTATTATTATTATTCAGTTGGTTAAGTAGTAGAAATTAGTCATGGGTCAGTTGTGGTTTAGTGGGTTAGTGGCCACTGTTGTAGGAGTCAGTTAATATAATTCCAATTTCCAGAGATTCTCTTGGCTTCTATACTTTTCTTGGGGTGAGATTCTTACTTTGAAAGGGAATATGAGAGTTAGTTCTGAAATTTCTGTTTTAAGTTTGTTTGATAGGTTCTGGGATCTACCATTTGGTATCAGAGCCCACGTTCTGATCAATCATGGTGACCACACGTTCTGTCGACGACAACCCTGGAGACATCGATCCATTGACGGCCATTGCGTCTAAGCTAGACTTGCTGGATGAATTGCAAGAGAAGATTTCAGCACTAGAGATTCAGTCGCAGGAGCACAAAGGAAAGAAAAAGAGGAACTGGGCTGACGACGTGGATGCAGAGGAGGAAATTCATAGACCTCGTCCTCCATTTGAAGGCTTGATTTTCCCAAATTCAGCGGCGGCGACCCAAGAGGGTGGGTGGTAAAGGCTGAAAAGTTCTTGAAATACTATGCGATTGCGAAGGATGACCGAGTGGAAGTGGTTGTGATGCATCTAGAAGGTGACGCTTTGGACTTGTTCTCATGGGTAAACACTGAACGCACGTCAAGGCTCGAAATTGCGTAATGCGCAATCGTGGCGTTTTTTAATTATTGCGTATTGCGTAAGCCTCATTGCGCAATGAAGCGTAGACGTGAGGCGTAGTGTGTGTGTGTGTGTGTGTATATATATAATATACGGAGTATATAAATATATATATAATTATACATATACATATTAATCAAAAAGTAAATGATGCACCAAAATAATGAAGTATAAACTGCCAGCTGCCAACACAATTCATTTTTTTAATGGACACCGCATCATCATCTAAATTCAATGTGCTTTCTTATCTCACACCCACTATCTGACAATCCCACTATCCCAGTAGGGGCTATGCAAAGTTTACAATATCAAATCCACTTATCCATGCCACCACCGTCCTGCAACCTCGTTCTACTCAATAAACTACAGAGTTTTGTAATATGAAGTGTTCTGTTATCAAAGAAATAAACACATAAGAGGAGAAGCAGATGAAACTTGATGAGCGCATCTTCTGCAAACCTGTGACGCGCAGATGATGAAGCAGCAACGGAACTTCTCCTATCTTCTGTATGAAGATTGACGAAGGGTGAAGTAGCAACACAGGTCGGGAATAGCGTACACGCTCAGTGGCCAACTAAAAAAATAAAAGTGGGTCCTATCGGTCCACATATATATCTACTTAAACTCTTAAAACTTTTAAGGCGGTCGCCTCAGGGCGCCTTATTGCGCGTCGCAGAAAGCGTACGCCACTGTGCCACATAGCACATGTTTCTACCCTTTCGCCATGCAATTCTGCGTCTTGCTATAGAAATTACCTGAGGCGCACCTCATTGCGCTATTGCATTGCGCAATTTGAAACAATGCTATCGGTCCACATATATATCTACATAAACTCTTAAAAAATTTAAGGCGGTCGCCTCAGGGCACCTTATTGCGCATCGCAGAAAGCGTACGCCACTGCGCCACATAGCGCATGTTTCTACCCTTCCGCCTTTCGCCATGTAATTCTGCGCCTTGCTATAGAAATTACCTGAGGCGTGCCTCATTGCGCACGTTGCTCTACTGGGATGAACTGGTGCGCACAATCAATGAACATTTTCGGCCGCCAAAGTAGTTGAATCCTGACGAACATCTATGCAACATCCATCAGACGGATAGTGTACATGAATATCGGCAAGACTGGGCGCATAGAGTAGGACGTGTCACCAACTGGCCAGAGCATTGCCTCCTTGAGGGTTTTCCTAAATGGGCTCCGAGAAGACATCCGATAAGAGGTGAGGATACACAAGCCCAGGTCCGTTTACAGAGTTGCCAGTTTAGCCTTGGAGTTTGAGAAAAAATGGCCCAAGGGAAGGGAACCAGGCCCAATTCGTATACCTCTCAGAATAGGCCCCTTCCCAATCTTACTCAAAGTAGCGCTACATCTGCACATGATAAGGAGGTGATACCAGGAAATTCGGGCACATCCCCCTATTCAGCACCTTCCAAAGCAGCAAGTTCATGGGATGTGACAAAACAACAACATCGCGACAAAGGGTTGTGTTTCCATTGTGGGGACCCATTCCGACCAGGCCATCGTTGTTCTGCTAAGTTCTCGCTGTTGGAAGTTGTAGAAGACGAGCATTCAATGCCAAGCTCTTTGGAATTAGCCAAAGACACAAAACAAGAACCAGCAATAGGTGCCGAGATTTCTTTTAACGCCATCCTGGGTAGTCCAACAAAAACAACAATGAAACTGCGTGGCTTATTGGCTAACAAAGAAGTATTGTTGTTAGTGGATAGCGGCTCAACTCACAACTTCATATCAGATTCACTAGTAAGGGAACTTCACTTGACAACCTCCTCTACTCAGACAATTCGGGTTCAGCTTGGTGATGGTCATGTTGTGCGTTGCAACTGTGTGTGCAAGGAGATTTCAGTACAACTTCCGGGTTTGACCATCACCCAAGATTTTTATCCATTTTCCCTTGTGGATTCTGATATGGTACTAGGAATTAAGTGGCTTGCATCACTCAATTACATCCAATCTAATTGGAATGGGATGTTCCTCATTTTCTGGGTGAATGGGAAGTACTTGAAGTTAAAGGGAATACCAAAAAAAGAGTGTCAACCTACAACTTTTAATCTTATGACCACAGTGAAGTCTGCATCTAGTGCACCTAGTCCTGACGCATTTAATGTGGAAAGGGTGTCCATGGAATTTGAGGCTGTAGAACCAGTATCTTTGCCTCCTTTCAGAGATCATTTCCATGAAACTGAGCGACATGTAAAGGACTTTCTAGACAAAGGGTTCATTCCTCCCAGCTCCAATCCATTTGCAAGTCTAATTCTGTTGGGGAAGAAACGAGCTAATTCATGGCGTATGTTTGTGGACTATCGGGCCCTCAACAAAATCATAGTCCCCGAAACGGCTTCGGGCTATCATGGAGCACTCCTTAAAACTTTTAAACTGCTCTCAGGTACTTTTAAAGAGTAAGATGGAGTTCACAAAAAGTAAAAAGTGAAATGATAAATAATGGGATAAAGTGGAATTCAATTTAGGAAAGGGTCCATATTTTTTTTGGCAACCTAAAACGGATAGTGTATCTTACAAAATGTGACG